AGGATCAGTAAATGATATAACTTTCCCAGAGTCAGAAGGGGATTGTCCAGTGTGAATGCAAGAACTTACACTGTCATTCTGTGGTAATCTGGGTGCTTGTGCTATACTTAAAGGACTAGGGCATCTAATTACTAAAAAGTCTTAAACTGAATTAGCAGCATCTTCTGACCCTGGTGATGTACTGTGTTCATTGGTCTTCATGCTACTCGGCAAAGAGTAGACAGACACCTTCCAATGAAACCCATCAGAAACTGTGAGCATACTTTTTGAGAACTGGGATGGACTGAAGAGAAGCACACATGTCATGACAAGACAACAGGGTACTGTCCAGTGTGACCGAATCACTGTAGTAAGAACAGAGCCCCCATTCGCAATAGCTTGGGGGGATTATTACAGGGTGCTTGGAAGAAAAATCATAGAGCATTTTTAGTAAATTTTAGATAATTGAGACAGCATTGTGTGAAACACAAATGCACACATATGCAACATATCCCAGCCAAGAGAAATATGTTTACAGCTGTTTCCAGAAGTTCCCATGAAATACAAAAGAGTCACGTTTTCACCCAAATACCAGGGTGCCTGTGTATTCTAAGCTACCCTGCTGTAAGGTAGACCTGCTATAGAGTTAGCATACTTGAAATCTGGACATATTTTCCAAGGATGCTTTGTTTGAACATCCCACTGATGGCAAACCTGTTTGGAAAACAGCCAGGTGTCCTGATCCTTGCAGAATTTTCAGTCTGTTCCCAGGATGCGTCCTTAGTTCAAGAGCACGGTCTCTTGTGGAAGGGACAGTAGACTGGTTGTGCAAATAGTTTTTGAATAGCAATTCAAAGAGATTTTTTAATTTCAATTAATAGAAATTAGTTTATGCAAGTCCAAAAGCTCAATCCCATGTACTAAGAACTGTAGCTACAGAGTTAGCAGAACAGATTAGTTAAAGTACGCAAACTAACAGTGAGACCCTGCCTCAAAAGAGAGTAGGGTGGAAAGTAATAAAGGAGAACACCTAATGCCCCCTGGCCTTCATGTGCATGCATTGGCATACAACACACACACACACACACACACACACACACACAGAGAGAGAGAGAGAGAGAGAGAGAGA